CGGGAAATAAGGGGGCGGGGCCGGGGCAGGCGGCCACCGTGTCCTTATTCCACCGTGTTGCCTTTCAGACTGGGGCCATGTGCAGGTCTGTGACGCGGGCACTTTGCGGGAGGGGGAGGCTTGGGCTTCTCCCGAGCCCGGCACCCAGACGGTGGACACGGCACCCATCGATGCGTTTTCGGCCATTGCCGGCTCCCTTCCCCCGAGGACTCCCCAGGGCCTGCCGTCCCCGGCTTTATGCCTGGTGCGCCCCGCGTTGAGCTCCCACGTGTAAGTGAGAACGTGCGGGATTCGTTTTCTGTTTCTCAGGTTGCTTGAAAGCGCCCTTGTTCCCAGGAGCTTCCATTCCGGATTCCGGGATACGGCTCTAGCTTTCACGGGGGGAGGTGGACGTTGAGCACATCAGCGAGTAAGGGTGCGATGTGGCCGGCGGTGGGAACCGCTAGGAGAAATAAAGGGAGGCAGGGAAGAGGGTGAGGAGCCCAGCGTCTGGTGATGCATTCGTTCGTTCATTCACTTATTCTTGTTCGATTGGACAGCTGGTGATTGAGAGCTTCCTGCGTGCAGGCAGACCGCCAGGCTCGGTCCTCGGGACCGTCCTCTCTGTCCAGGGCAGGCAAAATCCACCAAATATACCCTGAAATGAATTCGGAACTGAGGACTGGCCCGGAGAGGGGCAAGCCGTCCCTGAGGGATGCCGCAGTGGGCCCCACGTGCGCTCACTTACGCTTTCAAACACGGTCTGCAGCTTGATAAGTAAACAGGTGCTGGGGTCCAGCAGCAAGCCCCTTCCTGGAGAAGGAAAACAAGACACGGCCCCAAGGAAAGACCCTTCCCCCTCTCTGGTCCTTTTCTTCATTTCTATAATTGAGGGATTTGTTTTCAGGGAGTTGCACAGTATATATATGTCTGGCTAATTTTTTTTTTTTTTTTTTGGTAGAGGTGAGGTCTCACTATATTACCCAGGCTGGGTCACTGGAAGTTTTGCACAGAGAGAGACTTAGGTTAGACTGGAGAACACTCTGAAGAAAAAAATACATATATTGAGTTGGGATCTCACTCTGTCATCCAGGCTAGAGTGTAATGGCAAGATCACAGCTCACTCCAGCCTTCACCTCCTGGGCTCAAGTGATCCTTCTCTGCCTCAGCCTCCTGAGTAGCTGGGACTACAGGCACATGTCACCACACTCAGCTAATTTTCTTTTCTTTTTTGTAGAGATGAGGTTTCATTATGTTGCCCAGGCTGGTCTGAAGCACCTGGGCTCAAGTAATCCTCCTGCCTTCAGCCTCCCAAAGTGTTGGGACTATAGGCGTGAGCCACCTTGCCCAACCCATAATATTATATACTTTTAATCTGTTCGCTTTTCACCGCCATCACCATGGTCCTTGTCCAAGGTACCATCATCTTATCTCCCTGCAACCCGGTCTCCCTGCTCCCACCTTTGCCTCTGCCAGTTCGTTCTCCCATGACCACCAGCAACAGCTGTTACAGGTCATATATTGGATCATGTCACTCATCTGCTTAAAGCCTTCCCAGAGCTACCCCATGCTTTAGACGAAAACCCAAACTTCCGACCCGATGCCCTAATTCAGACCTACCCTCCTCTCTGAGCTTGTAGACCAGTGGACAAAGACAGGAACTGAAAAAGCACAATTTTAAAGAAAGTTTCAGACGATGGCAAGTGTTATAAAGCAAATGGGGCATCATGATGAAGTGGAAAGACACCAAGCCGCGCGCTTTACATGGGGCGGTCAGGGAGGGCGTCTCGGAGGAAATGAATAAAGGGGACAGATCAGAAGGGACAGCCACGGAGAGACTGAGGGAAGGGCATTCCAGACAGAGGGAATAGCAGGTGTGGATGCCCTGGGGAGGAGGGGGAATGAGCTTTGTTTAAGGAACAGCAACACAACCAGAGTGGCTGGAACAGAGGCAGAAGGGACCCGGATGGGGCGGGGAAGGTGGAGCTTACTGGGCCATGGCAAGGACTTGGGCTTTTATCCTGAGTGAAGTCGATGGAGCCACTGGAAGTGTGTGTGTGTGTGTGTGGTTCTTTTTTGAGGCAGGGTCTCACTCTGTGTGTGTGTGTGTGTGTGTGTGTGTGTGTGTGTGTGTGTGTGTGGTTCTTTTTTGAGGCAGGGTCTCACTCTGCCATCCAGGCTGGTGTGCAGTGGCCTAATCACGGCTCGCCGCATCCTTGAGCCCCTCAGCCCGGGCGACCCTGTCTCAACCTCCTGAGTAGCTGGGACGACAGACGCCCAACCACCACCCCCAGTTAATTTTTTGGGTAAAGGTGGGATCTCATTATGTTGCCCCGGCTGGTCTCAAACCCCTGGGCTCAAGTGCTCCTCCTGCATCAACCCCGAGTAGCTAAGATGACAGGCATGCGCCACCACGCCTGGATAATATTTTTTCTTTTTTGTAGAGGTGAGTTCTCACTATGTTGCCCAGGCTGAGTCACTGGAAGTTTTGCACAGAGGGAGGCTTAGGTTAGACTCGAGATCACTCTGAAGAACAGACAGTTAGGGGCCAGGGGTGGGAATGAGCAGACCACAAGAAGCCTGTTGTAGTTGTCCAGGTGAGAGATGGCAGCTTGGTTCAGGGTGGTGGGAGGGAGACAGGGAGAGGTGGTCAGACAGAAGGCATCTCACAGGGGATGTGTCAGGATTGGATGTGGGCTGTGAAGAGGAGAACAACCAGGCTCCCCCACTCCAGGCTGGCGTTCCAGGGGCCAGAAATGGGTCTCAGTTGCCTCTCTGCTGACCTTAAGCGCTGAAGGCAACTCCTCTCTCCCCAGATGTCTGGGCAGTCCTACCAGCAGACACAGAAAACAATAAAGCCTGCCCGATGAGAGGAACAAATGACGCTGTCATGGTGAAATTTCTGCAGAATACAACCTGCCCGGTGCTGCTGAAATTACATCCAGACGTACCTGTCTTCACTCCACTTAGCCAAGGAGTGGGGATAAGTGTTTGCTGAGTACCTACTACGAACAGTCCTCTGAAGGTTCTTAACAGAGGAAGTTCTTTACAGACGTAAAAGCTGAACACAGAGACGGAATGTTGCCCAGTGTCTTGCTGGACAGCTCTGGCCCAGCCAGGATGGGAATCTGTTGACTCCAAAATCAATGGGTTATGCAAACACTGGGGCAGCCTCGCAGTATTAATCCATTAATCAATACATGCATCAATCCATTAATGTGTGTATTGATTGATGGGAACATTCCAGATGTTTAGTGAGCAACTACTGTGTGCTTAGTGCCGGTGACAGTGCTGGGAATTGAGGATGAAAAACTGACATGGTCCCTGTCCCTGTGGAGCTATGCGCCTCTTGCCAAGGCCAGAAACAGGACAGAAAACCTGATCCTTGTTTTTCTTCTCTACGTTTTATTAATTGCTTTATTCCCATGTACCTTCACCTCCCCCAACCCCCCACTGCCCTCTTTAGCCTGTAGGGAAACAATGGTCATGTTCTGAATGTATGTCACTTTATTTGTAGGATTTTTTGAAAGCTGTGTTTGGTGTTTGGTGTGCATTTCAAAACTAGCAGATACGGTTTGTGTCATAGATCGCATTTGATTCATTTTTCTCTAAGATCCACCCATGCTGCTGTGGGTACGCCAGCCCACTGCTCTGACAGCTGCACGGTTGTCCATGGTGATGTGGGATCCCCCCTCCACTGTCTGTCCCCAACGTGGTCACCCAGATGACTCCAGCTCCCGCCACCACAATGAACACATCCACAAGCATCCTCCCACATGTCTGCTTATGAGCAGTATGATGATTTAAAAAAAAAAAAAATTTCCTGCAGGTTTGGAATTGACGTGTCATAGAGCTCGTATGCACTTTAAAAAAAAAATTGGAGTCTCATTCTGTCAGACAGACTGGAGTGCAGTGACACAATCACAACTATCACATCCTTGACCTGCTGGGCTCAGGCGATCCTTCCACCTCAGCCAGAATTCCAACTAGCTGGAACCACAGGCAAGCACCACCATGCCTGGCTAATTTTTTGGTTTACTGTAGTGACAAAGTCTTGCCAAGTTGCCCAAGCTGGTCTTGAACCCCTGGGCTCAAGCAATCTTCTCACCTCTGCCTCCCCAAGTGCTGGGATTACAGGCATAAGCCACTGTGCCCCATGTCTTGATTTAACTAAGAATACCCAGGCCGGGCTCAGTGCCTCAACCTGTAATCCCAGCGCTTTCGGAGGCCGAGGTGAGTGGATTGGCTGAGCTCACGGGTTCGAGACCCTCCTGGGCAACTTGGCGAGACCTCATCTCTACAATAAATCAAAAATTAGGCGGGCGTGGTAGCACGCGCCTGTAATTCCGGCTCTTTGGAAGGCTGAGGTGGAAGGATCACCGGAGCTCAGCAGATGAAGGCTGCGGTGGCCC